ATTTACATGAATTTATTGCATCTATCAACCTACCTACCTACCTACCTACCTATCTATCTATCTATCTATCCATTTATCTATCCATCTACCTACCTACCTACCTACCTACCTACCTACCTACCTACCTACCTACCTACCTACCTACCTATCTATCTATCTATCTGTCTATCTATCTATCTATCTATCTATCTATCTATCTATCTACCTACCTACCTACCTACCTACCTACTACCTACCTACCTATCTACCTATCTACCTACCTACCTACCTACCTACCTACCTATCTATCTATCTATCTATCTATCTATCTATCTATCTATCTATCTATCTATCTATCTATCTATCTATCTATCTATCTATCTATCTATCTACCTACCTACCTACTACCTACCTACCTACCTACCTACCTACCTATCTATCTATCTATCTATCTATCTATCTATCTATCTATCTATCTATCTATCTATCTACCTACTACCTACCTACCTATATATCTATCTATCTATCTATCTATCTACCTACCTACTAACCTACTAACCTACTAACCTACCTACCTACCTATCTATCTATCTATCTATATATCTATCTGAGGATTTTAAATCAAAAACCTCATTATGTTAATACATCGTGAAGTCACCTTAGGTCAACCCTACTATATCTATATCTGAAATATTGTGATATTTGTTTTTCTCCATATCGGCCAGCCCTCGTTCTTGCCATCTCTTTGTAACGACATCAAAAACAGAAAACACTTGAGAACTAATCCAAACATCAGGGCCGTACTCATGAAAGTGAGAGATGAAACTTATTTAAAGCAAAACTTTCACGTCCAAAAGAGACCAGAAACAGAGACAGAAAGAGTGATGGCGCTTACTTTCATCGAGCGCAGAGAAAACAGGAGGCTCTTGTGAAAGTGAGAGGAGAGAAGGAGGGTTTGAAACCAGCACATGTTGGGTGGAATCACTTCGTAAAGATCTAAGACAGAGGAGCAAGTCTCCGTCTCCTGTGTTGGTGAGAACCAAATCCCATATGACCCCGTCCGTCTCTAAGAGCAGCTCCTTCATCGCTGACAAAAATCTTTATTTGACCCACAGCGGAGAAATCAGCATTGTTACAGCAAGAAGGCAAAGTGCAGAAAATACAACATTAAATAGTAGACTAACATATTCAGTAAAGAAGTAAGCACACATGAATAAAATGTAAGTCAAATAAGTGTCACTATATTGTTTTACACACTTTATTATACCCATCTATTCATATTGATTATATATATTCATATTAATTAATATATATCTTCATATGCATATATATATATATATATTTAAGTTTATACTTTTACTTTTTGTTGTCACAGATAAGTTCGATCAGTTCTGGGCCATGAACAGAAAGCTGATGGAATATCCCACCGAGGACGGAGGCTTCAGATTCATCCCCTTCAGGATATACCAGGTAACACACACACACACACACACACACACACACACACACACACACACACACACACACACACACACACACACACACACACACACACACACACACACACACACACACACACACACACACACACACCATGTATACATCACTTCAGGGGACATTACATTGACTTACATGCATTTCCTGGAGACTTATCCTAACCTTAACCATAACCAACACATGCCTAACCCTAACCCTAACCCTTAACCTTACCCTAACCCTAAACCTAACTAAGTCTTCACCCTAAAATGAATGATTCCCCTCATGGGGACCTCCAATTTGTCCCCATAAGGGAAGCCAGTCCCCACACGTGACTGTGTAAACAGATTTAGGTCCCCACAAGTATAGTAATGCTAGGCCACACACACACACACACACACACACACACACACACACACACACACACACACACACACACACACACACACACACACACACACACACACACACCATGTATACATCACTTCAGGGGACATTACATTGACTTACATGCATTTCCTGGAGACTTATCCTAACCTTAACCATAACCAACACATGCCTAACCCTAACCCTAACCCTTAACCTTACCCTAACCCTAAACCTAACTAAGTCTTCACCCTAAAATGAATGATTCCCCTCATGGGGACCTCCAATTTGTCCCCATAAGGGAAGCCAGTCCCCACACGTGACTGTGTAAACAGATTTAGGTCCCCACAAGTATAGTAATGCTAGGCCCCACACACACACACACACACACACACACACACACACACACACACACACACACACACACACACACACACACACACACACCCTTATTACTGTCATTTCTCTTAAAGCCACCACGCTTTGATTCTCCGTTGATACATCTGAAGTGTCGCAGTCAGTCCAGTAGGTGTCGCCAGATAGCTGTGTAAAAAGGTGTTTTCCTAACGTCTTGTCCTTTACCTCAGTGAACACTCAGAACATTAAGCACTTTAGCAAGATATGTCATAAGATAAAAACACGCACTGTAAGTTAGATGATCTGCCAGTCACAATCAGTTGTTTCCAGAAACGGTCATTTTAAATGTTGCAAAGACTTACGGGACAGCATTTTCCCCTTTGCTTTCCTAAAGGGTGGTCCAGTGTATCCTCAAGGAGCTAATAAAGGAAGCATTAAAGCTCCTTTCCTATCATATACAGAATTTGAGCAGCTCTTATCGTGGCTGGCACTTGGAACCTTCGATTACTACACTTTACAGAGAAAGACAAGAAGAGTCATTCTCATTACTGTAATGTTTTTAAATCCAGATAATCATCCATGTTCTTTTCCTGAAACCACAATGGGTTCATTCTCTATGAGGCATTTGCTGGCACCCACACACACCTGCAGACTAAATGTCTATTTATCAGTAAACACATTTCAACACACTCGGTGACCTCTTCCTGACATGCTCATCCCTTTTAAAGAAACAATAGAAGCCTCTTGTCATTATACAAAATCAAGAAAGACAACTTATTCTGTTCATGCGTCCCATAATACACACCTTGAAACTTATTGAGTCATTTGTATTCGTAAGGTCATCCATAGTTCTTTACATAATGGAAGCGAAACCAAGCTTGATAGGCTATTAACACTTTTTTTTGTTATTCTTTTTTCTCAATTTGAACCACATTTCTGAGTGAAACATCAAGTTTTAAAAGGTTTAAAGCAGATTTGTGTTCTCATGTCATCTGATGAATGAACCAGCCTGTTCATAATAGGGGTAAACAACAAAACACTGTCTGTCAGAGAGGCGTGTCGGACCCGGCTTTACCCCGGTGCTTTTCGTATGTTATTCATCAATTCCAGTATATTTGATACCTGTGACTCTCCTCGGTTCGTGTAATTCCCCTGGAGCGAGAAGAGCCTGTGGGCGAGCCTCAATGTATTTCAAACCTCCACAACTTTATCCTGACTCAGGTGAAAAATCCCTTTTTTTCTTAAGGACCAAAAAACGAAAGAAGAGGGGGATGAATAATCGGCTGATTCTCGCATGGAAAACATGAGCAGACTGAGAGCCAGACAGAAAAAAGTGCCACGCTTTGAGTCAAATGTCGAGGGGATTTTATGCAAATCAAAAGCGGGAAAAGTGTGCAGAAATAATTTGAGAACTTCAGGAATTACTTAATAATCTAAGTCGATGAAACGTCATTAAAACATTCTAATCCTACCGGACCCTCAAAAGTCTCGTCCAGTGCAGTTTGAGGAGTTGTACATTTGGAAAACATCTGGATCTGTGCAACGAAAACATGTTGACAGTCTGCTTTGAGTCTGGCGGGTGAATGTGCGTGCATTAAGCCTCGATCTGAAATCACAGGGAACACAAAGGCCTCCTCACTGTCACTGAGTCCTGTGGAGGAATTAAAACGTTAGGGCCTGTTGAGACAAGTTTGGAAACATAATGGAGCAGAGCAGAAAATAGATCTGGCTCCGAATTACAGAAGTGTCAACTTATGTAATTTGATGTATAGATTGTAGGCACTGTGCTGTAATGGTTAGCTGCAAGAGTGAACTTTCCCTCCAAGCATATTTCCCATCATCTTATCCGCTGTCATTGCTGGTAATTTCCCAATGCCATGATTTAGTATTCTTTAATAATACTTGGCAGCTCATATGGCTTCATTTACATTTACTGCACAACTGTCAATCAATGGCTGTTTTGCATACAATTCAAAAATCTCATGAATGCTTTTGTCTCTACTTGTACGTCTCGAGTGCGTAAATAAAGCACTTTGACAAAAACATTCTTGTTTGGTTATAAAAAAGGGAGTCTTTTAAGTGGCAGACTGAAACATGCAGTCTCACCAACATGAGCCGCCCTCGCAGACATGCACTTGTCGCAGCTGTGAAACCGGATTAATTCTGGCGTGGAGGAGAAACACAGTTCTGGGTGTTTTTTAAATGGCTAAATTGAAAGTTTCCACAGCCATTTATGGCTTGGTTTCATGGCAATTGGAGCATCAAAGCCTGTTACAACCTCACTGTGTGGAGAAAATGAGCCGGAGAAAAGTCTGGATTGTTTTGGAAATGGTGTGGTTTTCTACTTACAAACTGCTAAATATGTTCGACTGAAGACGAGTGGAAAGTAAATCTGTTCATTAGGGCCGCACGATATGGAAAAATGCAATAATTGAGATTATTTTGACTCATGATTATTCTCATTATCATTGAAAAATATATTAAAATGTACCAAATATGTCAGTAGAACACATTCGTAGGGCGGGAAATGTCTGCAGCTCGACAAAACTTCAACCAAAATACAATTTTAATACATATTTACCCTGTAACAATTATTGGTCTTCATTGATTTGAATATTGAAATAGTCTATTTTGCGATTTCCATACAATTTGGATTAATTGTGTATCCCGACTGTTCATCATTATCATGAACATACTCATAATGGCACTTTGCTACTACTTTTACTGGAAATAACTTCTTTGAATTGTTTCTAAATGTGTAGGAATCCCAGCAAACTAAAAGAGATGAAAAAAGGTGCAGAAAAAAGCGGAGGAAGAACAAAGTGATTGTCATTGTGGTGACTCCGCTCACACACACACACACACACACACACACACACACACACACACACACACACACACACACACACACACACACACACACACACACACACACACATGCTCGGAGTCCTTCAAAGCCAGATTGTGGTCTTTAGTGTAAATAACATGTGCTGTGTTTGATGCAGACAGAATTAATGACAACACTCAGTCCAAATAACAGAGGGCTCATTTCCGTCTGGCCTGCACTCCTCATGGAGACAAAGACAACTCATGGGCATGGACGACACATTTATGTGTGTGTGTGTGTGTGTGTGTGTGTGTGTGTGTGTGTGTGTGTGTGTGTGTGTGTGTGTGTGTGTGTGTGTGTGTGTGTGTGTGTGTGTGTGTGTGTGTGA